CCGGCCGGGGGGCGCAGCCGGCACGTCCCAGCACTGCCCGCCCTGCCCGCCCTGCCAAGTCCCCCAGCTTAGGCCTCGGTGGGCAGGGGTCTGAGTCCCCGATGGCAGGCAGAGCGCTAGCCGGTCTTCCCTGCCTCTCAGCCAGGGCTGTCCACCCCCTGGGCGGGAGCTCACTGTCCCCGCTTGTCTCCCTAGCCTCAGTTACGGGCCTGTCACTCAGGTGTCGGACACGCAGGTCAGACACGCTAAGGGACGCGACACTACGTCTCTGTGTCCCTTCCTTTGGCTGCAGGCGCACCCGCACATGGGCTGGCCGCTGGGCTCCTCGTTCCCCTTAGGGACAGAGGCTCAGAACAAGCAAATGACCCCCAGCAGGGCTCAGAAATGGCAAGTGCAGTGTTAGGGACAAACCCTGTGACAGGTACAGTGACACACTTTCAGGGAGGGGCTCAGCCCGACGCCAGCAGACCTGGTCTTTGCATGGCGTGTCCGGGTCGGTCAGCGCACCAGCGCCCATGGCAGGCAGCCTGGCCCGCCCTCCCACCAGGGCCGCTTTGGGAGGAAGAGAGCTGCAGATGCCCTGAGGCTGGTGCGGGGCCGGTCTTGCCAGGTGAAGCCCCTTCCAGCATTGTGCCCAGGCTCTGGCTGCACTGCGCGGGTGCGAAGCACTGGTCTGCCTCCGTGGGCGCCGCACACCTGCTGTGCTGCTTCCTGCCGGTGGGGGTCGCGGTGCTCCTGGTGGTGCAGGTGCAGGGACGCCCGGCTCTCAGGAGGGACGCACCCACGTGGACTTGGCCAACGGCACACGGAAATCCTTGGGGTTTGTAGTTCATTTATTTTTAAATTAAGGATTGATTTCTTTCTAAAAAATGATTTCTTCTGTGAGTGAGGCAGAGAGACAGCGCCCCCTGCAGGATCTGGATGTCACAACCCGTCCCCAGCCCCAGCTGGCCGGGACCATGGCATGTGTGTGCCTAGTGCACTCGGAGGTCTGTGGACACCAACTCAGAACCTTCCCCTGTGGTCAGCCTCACAGGGCGCCGTGTCCACTGTGTGCCGCCGGCACCGCACGCCCTTACAAAGTCCATTCATGTCTTTCATGAGAGAGAGACTTCAAAAAGGTCTCACGTGCCCAGATCCTCCCTCCAGCCAGCCAGGGTCACGGGTGTGCCTGGTGTGCTCAGGGGATGCGGGACCTGAACCCCAGGCCTCCCCATGTGGCCCCGGAGTTGCACACAGCCCCTTCCTGCACACGCAGCCAGCCTGGCAGTGCGAGTCCCGCTGGGCTCTCAGGCAGACACAGACAGGTGTGCCGCTGCAGTGGCGTGTCTTCCTTCACAAGGGTCCTGGATGCTAGGATGGAGGGAGGCCTCGGCACAGCCCTGCCCACGCACAGCTGCGCACGCCCCGGAGCAGGAGGGCCAGCCCAGGTTTGCTTACACGCAGGCGGCGGGGAGGGCGAGGCAGCCCTGCCCCAGGGCTGTGTGGGGCCAGCTGGAAGGTTGTCGTAAGG